TCTGAGCGACACACAGCAGCCACAACAGCACTTATGTTTTATTTATTTTTTCCTTTTTATTCGAAACATCCTCAAATGCATTAACTATATCATGAAATATCTTGATTCTCACCTTTATAGATTATGTTGATCTATAGTGGGCGATGGTCAAAGTAACCTAATAATGTAATCTATTAACTATGCATAAAAACCTGTTTACACTTAATTAACAGATATGGGTGTCATGCCATAACATCTTTTTAATACAACTGAGTTTATATTTAATGTGAATTTAACATTGAAAGTTATTGTGAATAAAAATATTGCAAGTTAGGCTACTAATAATAACACTTTCATTGTACAGAAAGAGAGCAAAGAACATTTACATTATCAAAGAACATTTTTACTGACAGTCTAGTTCAAGCACTCATAAAAACTCCCAGTAAAATCACTGAAGCGGTTTACACTATGAAATTAATCTTACAGATTCGTACAAACATTTGCACTTTGTTGTTTCTGACGAGAGAATTCGCAAGAAAGAGGTATTCAGTCAGCGAGCAAGTGAATAAAACAGCATTTTAGCGATGACTCATCTGAACACCTCTGATTGGTCATTGCATTCATAAGTTCAACAGCATCGTGTGTGATTGGTTAATGCACAGTGCTGTAAAAACGCGTCTGTATCTGGCTCAACGCCAGCCAGCGAACGCAGATTTGAATTTAACAGCTGATTATATGATGCACTGAACGTTCTAATCACGCCGGTGTGATTGTATTAAATATAGAAAATATGAATCGGCTATTTTGTGTCTTTTGGAAGCTGCATTCAAAATCCACTTGACTCAAATCTGAGGGGGCACGTGCCCCCTCAATTTGAATGGGCATGACGCCTCTGACTATGACTGCTGATGCTGTATGAACTCACACAAAGTTAAAACAGTTTAAACGTTTAGAAAACACGTCGCAAATTTGTGGAGGTTTATTCCTTTCCACCGGGTCCTAATAATTTTTTTAATGCAATCTGTGTGATCGGCGATTCAGCTCTTTGTAAGCAATGCATACATGATGCTGTTTTGTTCATAATTGTTTATGCAATTTACAAAATTATATTTGATTTAGATATGTTAATTTA